CGAGCTTATAACTCATCACCCAAGCCCTGTCACTGACTGTCAAACTGCGTTTCTTTGTTGTGACAGCTATGACAAAAAATTTGATGGACCGTAATTAAAACAAATGCATCGTTTCCTGACGGTGGTATCAAAACGATGATGCATTACATCATACAAAATTATCAAATGCCGTATTTAGACAGGTCAGGCAATGTAAGGGTGAATCCGAATAACTTAAAGAGGTTGTGGAATGCTCGAAGACATTTCCGTCATTTTTCGGGTATATGTAGCCTAAGGTGTGATGAAATAAAAACGACTATTGTTTCTGTCATAAAATGAGTACAAAAGGTACTTTTGAGAGCTGTTTTTCAAGTCCTGTCATGCCTGTTTCGACCCGAACGTGCAATTTGTGTAAAAGTCGTCGTTGCGGGCAGCAAACAAAACACAGTAAATCGTGACGTAATAAACAGGACTCCCGATGCAGAGTAGCATAAACGAGTCCTGTTTATTACGTCACGATTTACTGTGTTTGTTTGCTGCCCGCAATGACAACTTTTACACAAATTGCACGTTCGGGTCGAAACAGGACCTGAAAAATAGCTCTCAAAAGTACCCTTTGTACTCATTTCATGACAGAAACAATAGTCGTTTTTATTTCATCACACCTTAGGCTACATATACCCAAAAAATGACGGAAATGTCTTCGAGCATTCCACAACCTCTTTAAAGTTTTGGCTGTCAATAACACACCCTTATGGCAGCAGCAAAATCCATTTCATTTAGCAGTGTTATAGTCGAGTCCATCACAAGTCCAGTCACAATTAACAGGGGATGAAAGACTGATGTTGTCACAGATTATTTCACGATTCACATTTTTATGTGAGTTAAAATCAAACATGAAATTCACTTCCTGGTGGTAAACCAGTAAAACAATTTTTAAAAAGGAACAGTTACCACATTTCACTATCAAAAGCACTACAAAGCACAGTACTTAAAGGGAATATACAACATTTGCAAACATCGAAAAATAAAACTATCAAGTTTTTACAAAATATCTTACTAGGATGTTGGTAAATGACCTCTAAAGCATCCTGTAAAACTATGGCACCTGGAAAAACCTAACTATTTTTCAACTACTGCTCCAAATTTACCTTTTTTTGAGTCCCACTTGCAATTGGTTACATGTTCATGAACGGGTACAGGCCAGCTAGGCTGGTTCCCTTACCTTACAATTTTCCAGCATCTATAAATTGATCCATTTTATCTTTGGTGGACTCAGGGAACCAGACTACTTGAACATTTTTGTGTTTCTTGGTTTTTCCAGAATTTTCGAACGCAAAACTTCAAACATGTCAGTGTAACAATATTTGACCTATTATACTAACCCCTCAAATAGTTCATTTCTGAAAATTACAGCAAAAGCCAATGATGTACATTCCCTTTAACTCCCCCCCCCCCTGTTGATTTGCTTTACCACTATTGTTTGAATATTTGTTGCTTGACTTGAATTTGAATAATCTGTTACTTGACTTGAGACTGGAGGACTTGTGAGGACTTGTGACAATTTATGAGGACATGTGTTGACTTCTGCCGGACTTGTAAAGGACTTGTGAGGACATGTGATAGACTTGTGAGAACACGTGATGGACTTGTGAGGTTTTTGATGAGTATAGCAATGTCCCATAGACGAATGTGTTGGCACTGACCATAGGCAAGCAATTCGGGTGCAGCCTGACTTCTTCCAACACTCACTAGCTTGGACACATTTCTAATGCTACTGCCAGAATAAAATAGAAAGTGAGGATTACTTAACCATTTTCATTTTTAAACGCTTGTCGAAAACTTCCCCACTCCCCAGTCCGTGGAAAACAGAGGCTCAGGATTAGGAGATCTGTCGTTGGACTTCCTCTGAGCAATTGTTTGTTATCTTCCCACTGGCTACTCACTCCAAACTCAAAATAATAACATGCCTACAAAAACCCAGCGCAATGTTTGCAAGAGCCCCTGGATATGCACCATTACAGACCCAAATCTTGTTAACAAAGGCACTTCCTTTTAATGGTCAAGGGAGAAGGGCATGTGTACTGTGAGGGCAGATATACTTCGTGAAATTGGAAAAAAAAGAAAGGACTGATTAAAGCGTTCCGAATTTAAACCGTGACAATTGAAGAGATCCTGGTCCGTGGCAACCAGCCAAGAAAATTGAGCGTGAGAAAGACAGAGAGTTAGGAAAAATGGAATGCGGTAAAACTTATCTTTTAACTTCAATCCTCAGGGATTAAAAAATCGCAGCGATTCCGCCATCCGTTCATGTTAAGGCGGAGTGCGAATGGATGAAGTAATTCTCTCACAGGAAGTTGTTGATCATGTGGTTTTTCACCCTTCTATTTTCTTCCCTAACCCTATCCCTTTGTTTTTTGTTGCTACACTTTTCAACTTTGTGACTCTGTTGTATTTTTTGTGCGTATTACAACCAATACTCATGTCTCCTGTAGTCACGGAGTGTCTTATCTCAGGAAGTAATATACTGTACTGTTGATTTTTCTATCTTTAGTTCTTTTTATCTTTTTTTTTGGTATCGTTTTTTGCAAGTGGCTATATTTAAGTGGGAGATACATGTGTAATAGTCAAAAGGCGAAATGGTACATGTGAAGATCTTTGCAGCTAAATCAGCTGACAGACACTCTTACTTGACTGTTAGACACAGTGTCTGTGAGTAAAATATAAATTACGTATTACTTGGAAAAACCTTTCAAACCATAACTCCATATACTGGACTGTAGATATTTTTTTTTTATCTCTAGTTCTTTTTTTTCCGCAGTTGGAAAAAAAAAGAAAAAAAAAGAAAAGAACTAGAGATAAAAAAATATCAACAGTACAGTATATGGAGATATACTAATTAAATAAAAAACTATAAATTACGTATTACTTGGGAAAAACCTTTCAAACCATAACTCCATATACATGTACTGTCCTGTTGATTTTTTGTTTATTTCTAGTTCTTTTTGTTTTTTGTTTTTGTTTTGTAAGTGGTTCTGTTAGTGTGAGATAAAACGACATGGACATCAGTCAAAGGTGTAATGATACATGCGTAAATCTAGCTAAATGAACTGACAGACTCTCTTATTTGTTAGTTAGACAAAGTGCCTTTGAGTAAAATGTAAATGGCGTAGTACTTTGAAAAATCTTTTAACCATAACTCATTTTTGGCAAATCTTTTGGTAACTTTCCTGAATCCTCCAAAATCTACCAATATCCTCCACAGCCAATGGCACGTTTTATGTACTTCAACATTCAAGTTAATTAAACTCCATGCAAAGTACATGTAACGGTTACATGTAACAGTCCCTCCATCAATCTTGGAAAGTACTTGTAGTCATGGATTTTGCTGCATCTAAGATCATAAACCACTTCGCGCCAGAATTATTTTTGCCGAAAATTGTGATTTTTGAAAAAGGCAAATCCAGCCAACTTCCGATATACAGCCAAACGCCACAAAAACTGATTCGCAAGAGTCCTTTCAACAGTATTTGTACCAGTCCTTTTAGTAGAGATTTTGTCATTAAATTAGTTGGTACTTTTCCGGGTATATAATTTGTGAACAATCCTACATGATTTTAAGGTTAGCTTGATGCCCATTCTGTTTATGCTAATACAGTTTATGGATACATTAAAAAAAGTACCCTTACGTATCGCCGATAAATAAAAATAACCACTAACTCCAAATCGGACCTTATCTAAAATGTTATCCATGCGTATTTCTCCCATAATTCTTTCATCGCTTGGATAGGAGGAAGGACTTGTAAATGATTCAATTATGAGGCGTACGTATGGGATCTCCTAGGCACACGTTGTGGGTCCCTGTTGGTGCGTATGTGGGCATGTTTCAGGACGTGAAGAATGTAATTTGAACCCTGGCCGGTTTACAACCGACTTGTACGGGTTTGATTGGTGTTACGTTAAAGATGAAGTTGGGTCATCGACCTTAATTTCCCTCACTTTGCTGAAATTATTTGGCTCATGTGCGAGTTTATTTGATGGACTACGAATACATAAACGAATTGGATGCTTTATCTCGTGGTGAAGTAAAACTGGCCTCCCTCGGTGATCCATGGAGCATTCTATTTTCCCTCGGCTTCGCCTCGGAAGAATAGAATCTCCAAGTTTTACTACACCACTCAAAGCATTCCATATCTGTATACTATCCACCCTCATACCATGTTGTATTTGTATGCTTTTAACCCTCTTCTCCCAAACTCATAACATAAAGGACTCCTGGCAGGACAGTAGATCATGCCTTGTTTCCTCACGAAAGCACACCACCAGCTTTGCAGAGGAAAATACCCAAGCATCGGAGAACAGTGGAAATGTGTGCTAAATTGTTGTCTTTTGCACCTTTGATGGGTACTTATTAATAGTCCACAGGTACTTGAAATTGAACAATGTGACTACATGTAAGTTTAAAGGGAATGTACAACATTTGCTTTTGTTGCAATTTTCAGAAATAAGTGTATTTGGAGGATTAGTATGTTAAAGCAAATATTGTAAAACTGACTTGTTTCACGTTTTGGGCTTGTAGATGCTGGAATAACCAAGAAAACCAATCATGTTCTTGCAGTCTTGTTTCCTGACCCCACTTAAGGTGAAACAGAGCAATTTATTGACTGTGGGGAATTGTAAGGTCAGAGAATCAGTCTAGCAGACTTAGACCCCTTCACATGTGTGTGATCAATTGCAAAGAAAATGCGGAATAACTAATTATGAAAATTCGTAGCAGTTTTTGGGAAAAAAATCCAGTTTTCTCCAAGGCTGGTCGGCCGACCAGCGTTGGAAAAATACCATTTTTCTTGAAAATGTCAGCACGCCAGGAGCCACGATTTTACAGGATGCTTTAGACTGTCATTCCCTAACAATCCAGTGAGGTATTTTGTGATAATTTGATAATTTCGTTTTGTGATGTTTGCAAATGTTGTATCTTCCCTTTAATGCAAGTTTCCTTTATTTTCTCTGCCTTTCCCCAGGTTTGGAGGTTGCAACCAGATACTATGTCCAGCTGGTTGCCTACAACTTGGTCGACGGCAATCGCTCAGAGGGGCCAGCTTCAGCTGAAACATCCATCGCAACGCAAGATGGAAGTAAGAATTCAATGCAATTGTGGAATTTTCTTTAAGAAATGGCTTCTAAAGCCAGAGATTCGTACAAATCATAGGGGATATTCTCAGGGTTTTATATCACTGGTACCGCTTTCATGTCTAAAACGTGACAAAAGCAAATGCCTGGTTTTGCTTATTTTGGAAAAGATGCAGTTTTAAAACTATTTTGGTTGCATAATGACTTCGTACATCATAAGGAGTATCTAACGTGACGGCATGGGATCCCTCTTTTAGAAGTCAGTATTTCTTGTTCTTACATATCAGTCAGTGGTGCTGTACCATTCAGCATTCTTCACAAAACAAAGATCATCCCCCCCCCCAAAAAAAATACCTTCATCCCATTCAATTTTCTCATCTTGTAATTTCCCAACCCAGTCCCTGGATCCGTCCGAGACTTCAACGCCTCCGACGTCGGCCCCGACTACATCCTCCTCACGTGGGAACCCCCCTCCGAGCCCAATGGAGCGATCCAGGCCTATGTCATCACGTATAAGGCAGACTTTCCTCAGGAAGTTACCACTGACATCCTGAGCATCGTGACAGGGGGTGCGAGGGGTAAGTCTAATTTTTGACACTAGACCTCTTTAATTCTCCTAGACGCGAGCCTCGAAGAAAGAAAAAACTCCCCACGCCAATCAATGCACCCCACTCCCCATTCCTCGTGGGAATATTTCAGGGGATGTTAGATCGAAACTGATACCCGTTTTGGAACGAGCGTTCCAGCTTTATCCACCGGTTGCAATTTATAAGCCTAATTTCGCTTGGATTCTGCAATACGTGCGTGAATTGGGTAAGTGAGTCGCGTAAATTAACGTAATTTTACTTTTTTTTTTCTTTTGGCCTGCCAAGGAATCAGTTGTTGCTTTAGTGTTTCGCGGTTGAGTGGAGGCCACTCGGTTTTGTTTATGGGCCAGGTGTAACTAAGTTGTGACTCACCCGTACTTGCCCGGCGCTGGCGTAATTCAGTCCCTACGTTTATCTCCTGAACGTTCCCGACGATTTGTAACGCTCGTTTGTCGATGAAGTTGCCTTGGTCAGTCATTGCGTACATCCAACGTCACCCGATGGTGAGTTAATTGCAGGGGATGTTTCATTAAAACGAAATTTGTCGTCTCGTTTGTTTGTTGGCTGGGTGTTCGCGTCGCGGTGAGTGCAGCGTTTGTCCGTGGTGTACACCCTGCACAGCATTAGTCAGACGGCAGAAAACTGGAGAGTGGATAAACGGACATTTGTGTTTGCTGGACTGAACGGGACAGGACATATATCGTTATTAGACTCTGAGTTGTGTTGGGCTTTCTGTCTTCTGAAATTGTGTTCAGCAGCATTCTGTAAAAGTAAGTTTGTTAGATTTTTAGTAGCATTTTCACATTCTCACACTAAATGCAGTAGATAAAAATATTCTTTACTTGTGTCACAGCATCACAGGAAAAAATGTGTATCATTTATTTGCATGAAAGCATTTTTTTGGCCCGAAAAAAAAAACAGTAGTGGGTAAAACATGTACATGCATATGTTTGGATGCCTATATTTACAGGATAACTAAACATGCGCTTATATGACCAATCTTGGTATGCTTTCTTTCTATCAGTGGTGAAAGCATTTGGCTAGCTATTGTTTAGATAATCTGTCACAGGGCAGTTGCTTTGTACAATAGCATGCACAATGGTTTCTCCATTGAAGGGGGCCACGTGTGTGTACAGTGATCACGTGCCCCGATAGGTTTTTAGAAGAAGGGAGGAGTTTAATACACTCCATGGTGTTGTACGTTGTTGCAAGTCGGAGGAATGCATGTGTGTTTGAAGCATGTTTGGTCTATTTTTAAATTCACATGTGGCAAATCTATTTGAAAATCAGTTTCAATGAGGTATGGTGTGCACAATGTACCACAACATTTTTGTAACACAAGACTCACATTCAGGTACAATAGGTCTTTCTCAAAGACGGCCATCTATGCAGGAGAACTGCAACTGCATATTTTACGCAATCAAGCACGCATTGCGCAGTGTTGAAAATGATCCACAAGTTGGGCTCAATATGCCAATGCACGTTGCTGGTCTGTAGGAAATGACGTCATTTGAGAGAGACCTATGAAGCACTTGATGACACAAGCATTTATTAAGCGCATTTTTTCCCTAAGGTACTGGAACATGTAGCAACTCCAGAAAGTACAACTAATGAAACATAGAAAAAATGAACAATTGAAGTACAATTAATACGAAAATAGATATGATTTTAGTTTACTTTGGAACTGGTGGATGGATTTGCAATGACGAACACTGAGAGGGAGTGAGTTTCAGCTACAGAAAAAGCCTTAAGAGAATACAAGAACTGATTACATGCATCTTCTTGAAAAAACGTGTAGCAGCGCATGGAAGGGTCTTTCCGTTGTCGTATGCACGCATGTGTCATCATGTCATAAACCTTCGAGCTATTTGTACGGTATTGTACTGTAACTGAAACCATTTACCTAATTAAGAACTCATGTTTCTTGAGCTACCCTTGCAGGCAGCCTTTCTGTTCTTATCATGATGTATCCACAATACACCTTGGAGTGATTTTGGCTTCAGAAAGTTAGCGACAACTAGGACACTGGGAAAAACATGGTTTTCATCACGGAGCTTGGCTGTGTGTGTAGTTTTAACACTGGGGGCACGGAAGGTTTTGTGTGGTCTGACGGTAGACAGCTATACGGGTCATTCTATAAATTTGTGGTTGATTTTTTTTCCCATCCCTGTTACATCTTTGATTTTGTAATTCTGATGCACTGTTTAATTTTAATGCCTTGTCCTCCAAGAGTAAATCTGTGAAGCCGGCTACCTACCCTACAAATGAATTCATAATGATACTTGAATGGCAAATTACAACGAAGGGAGCTGGGATAGGAAAATGTCACACTTTGTAGAATGACCCATATTCAATGCATAATGTGTGAAAATGTACAAACTCAGATAAGGTTTCAAACAAAACACTGGGAAAACATGGTTTCATGAAAGTTGCCAGCTCTTAATGTTCACTTAATCGGAAATTTGGGCATGCATGAAAAGGTTAATGTGGTCAAATGGTAAACGCCTCGCTGTGACTTTACCCACAAGTAATGCATGGAAACGGAACAATTTGAAAAAAAGTTTCAAAAGAAGCTCTGTTGAAAAAATTAGGTTTTCATTGAAAAGGTTATAGCTGTGCATGTAGTTTGAACACTTGGGGCACGAAAGGTTTTTGGTGTTGTGGCAGTAAACAGCAAGCAATGGCATGCATGTAACCAATGCATAATGTTTGGAAACAGCAAAAGTTAGAAAAGATTACAAATTGAACTCTAGGAAAACACAATGTTTATTATTAAAGTGGCTAGTTGAATGCATGCTGTTCTTATGTTGGAGATGTGGAAGTTGTTGTGTGTTATGTCTGACGGTAAAGAGGTATGGTTGACTTAATAACCAATGCTCAACGTGCGGAGGACAAATTAAGCAAGGCTGCCTTAGTAGGAAAATAACTCTTGGAAAAATACGGCTTTCATTGAAGTGGTATACAGTGATAGCTGTGCATGTAGTTGTAATACTTGGGCATGACAGGTTTTGCTTTCTAAATAAAGCATCATCAGTCAGCAGTGACATAGCCAACCAAAATTTGTTGAAACTGAACAAGCTTAGAAAAGGATTGCAAACAAATCACTTGGACAAACATGGTTTTCATCAACATAATTAGCTGTGTGCGTACACATATATAGGTCAGTTGTTTTGCTATTCTGTCATCACTCGTTGAACAACCAACGGTGACATATCCAATGCACAATGCATTGAAACAGAACAAACGGAGAAACAAAATTGACAACCGAAAATTCACTTCCTTGTCCAAGAAATGAGGGCTGATTACCTGGATTGAGCGGGGCGCCAGGGGAGTAGCCCAGACGCATTGTTGATGAGGAGAAGTGAACCTAATGCTCATTAGGGTCCTGTTCCTTGTTTGCCGGCTAGTTAATAATAGTCCTGATTGCGTGTAGGGGGAAACTTAACGAGGTGAAATTGAAGGCTGCCGACCAGGTTGGAAGTTTCGAATTAAGTTTCAATATGAACGTGAGCTGGATGTTGTACCGTTTGTTCAGGAATACTGTGTTAGTTGGCCAAGCAGACAAAATACTTAACAAGATAAAACCTTGTGGTAAATTAGACACACACGTCCAACTTATGCATCATGAAACTCAAGTTATGATTAAAGAGAAAATGTGTTTTTCATTAACCCTCCTACTATTTAAGCAGTCACAGACAGTCAAAATTTCCATCCACTTCCCGTGCTATACTTTTTAGCACAGGCTAGTCACCAACAGTCAGATCATTATGTCAAGCAAGCACTGTGACTAGTCAAATTCAGTCAACAGACCATGAACTGACAAAGCAGGCAAGTTGTGGACACAGCCGGCTTATCAATCACCCACAGTCAAAGCAAAGCTGTATCGAGTTACGTAAACAGTCAAGGCCAATCAATCCTGCTTTTGTAGGCTGGGAGTCTTTAACTGTTGAAAACAGTTACTTGAATGATTTTGGCTGAAAGGACTACTTGGCACAAAATGTATGTTTGCAACGTTGCATAAGAGGGTTAATCACTGTAGGGCCCCAAACCGCCCTGCCTGTTACTCCCTGTACTGCCCAAAACTGCCCAAGCGCTCTTTGCTTTTATGGATTCTTCAGGAAATAAACACAATGTAATACAATGTAGTAAAGGTGCTAATGGGTTAAATGAATTTTGAAAAGTAGAATTTTTTTAAAACATTATATTGATTTCATCGTGCAAGATTGCTGATACGGTACCATTATGAAATCTTGTTCCTGGCCCGAGTGTTTTCTAGAATAAGAGTGTAATTTAAATGCCGGGAAAAACTTCCCTTTTTTTTACATTGGAAATATGCCTAACAAAAGTGCACAAGTTGCTGGTTCTTTGCAGTGATTATCCTCAATTCTTCTGAACGAAAATGGCAGCTTCCGTCAGAATCTGAGTTGTAATCAGTCGTCAGAAGTCAATCACAAGTCAATTCACAAGTAACAGGGGATGAACAATGACAAAGGAATGCCTTTGTCACCGCTCATTTTATAAATAGCTTGTGAGTTGACTAGGGACTGGAGGACTTGTGGTGTGACAAGTGACTGAATCAATTTCAACTGTGGACTGTAATGTGTTTAAAAACCCTGAATGGCATTGTTTAGACGCGTGTGCTCGTGTCTGCACCCCACAAAATTGTGAACCCACACCGTGGTCCTGTATTTCCTTAGGCCCAAGCCAAAGGAAACAGAGCCCTCTTGTGGTCTGTCATGGTCCCTGTGGGTGCATAGACATACACTATTGCCCTTGTTGCCAGTCATACTTTGCCGACAAACACATGATTTTGCCAATGGGACAGCAATTTTGCCGACAAAAAAGGATTAATTGGAGGTGTCACATGCCACCTCTGGTAACGCCCATAAATGTGAAATCTGTTTTGTTTTCCCATGTAGCCTGGTTTTCATGTTGAAAATTCCACACTAATGACATTCAAAACCTGTCTTTTTCTGTAGTAATTTTTAAAT